GGGGTCCTAAGGGAAAGGAAGCCTTGGTGGACCCCACCCAACAGTGAGTTTTTAAGAGCAGGGGCTGTGTTTCATCATCTTGGGAACATCACTGCCCCTTCTTGGATAAATTGCTATTTTTCATTTTTAACATCATGGAAACCCAAACATTCCCCCAAGGTCTGTGGAGAAGGAATGAGATCCTTTGGCTTCAAGGGCTCTAAACCCTTGGTCACGAGGCAGGTGGGGGCCGATGCTTTGTCTCATGGAGCACGTGGATGTTTGGAAGGGTGTCCACGCAGGAGCAGCGACCCCAGGGCAACCAAACTGGGCAGCCCTGTCCCCCATCCTGGACACCCAGCTTCCTGAGGAGGAGGTTTCCACTGCTGTTTCTTAGCTGTACTTGGCTCCATACACTCCCAGTGGGAGATCTGGGCACCAGGCTTAGTCTAAGGGGCGTGCGAGGGAGGTGACAGCAAGGTCTCAGTCAGGCCTCACTGGCTCCTCTTGTCCCTCCCACCGTAGCCATCTCTGGGCAGCTGTGGTCTCCGGGCTTCTGAGTGCTGGGGCACGTTCACCAGACACAAGTCTACTCTCAACTCCTCAGAAGCCTGGCGTGCTGACCCCCAGCTCCTCCCTGTCCCCCTGCTGTTTCCAGCACCCACTTACGGGTGTCTCCCTGAAGACAGGATGGCAGTAACCAGTGTAGAGCTGATCGCTACTGGCAGCTCTGAAAATAGTCATGGTATACATTAAAGATCAAGTGCCCGCCTTCCCAGGTGAACTCTAAGGCAGTTCTGTAACGTGAAACTGTGGACACATCTTGGGATCTGGGGCCAAAGTAGGTTCCAATGATGGATTTGTCACTTACTCACTGTGTGACCTTGGGCAAGTTTCAAAACATCTCCCAGTCCAGTTTCCTTATCTGGAATATGGGGAAAATAATAATACACACATCACAGGGTCATTACAAGGGATATCTGATAAAGAAGGTGAAGTGCTTGTCTCAGGAAACATTAACGATGATTATAGTTGAGCTTTGTGATACGGAATATGACCCAACTCAGCCTCCCTCATCTTTCAGATAGACAAACGGGAGCTCAGAGATACGGGTTATGTTCTGATTGCCACACAGCTAGAGATAAGGAGAGTTAAGATGGGCTCTTTGGCATTGAGAAAACTCAGACCAGTGCTTTTATAGCATGCTTCCCCCAAACTTTGAAATAAGAAAAAATCAAGTGGACAAAATAATGTGTGTTTTTTGAAATATTTCTGGCATAATCTTATTTGTTGCTTAGAGCGGTGGATGGTCTTCTCTCTGACACCTGATGATGTGAAAGCCTGCGCTTAATAAATAATTAAGTTGACTAGCTGGAGGAGGCTAAAGTTGGATGTCTGGGGAAAAGTTAACATGAAACGTAAGGCACTGTTTCCTCCAGAACAGACAGTTAAGGATAGCAAGTCTCTAAGGCTGATGCTTTTATTTATTTTTACCTTAAACATGTTGCTGTCCTGAGATAAACAAGGAAAATTAAATATATATATATATATATATAAAGCCATTATGGTGAAAGTGAAGCTATACCAATATGTGTGGACTGTGAGATTAACCTAAAAGAGCTGCCTGCAGACAGCATCATGGGATCAGAGGTCACAAAGAAGGTGGACCATGCACATCAGTTGGGTACCATATTGTTTACTGCTTGGAACAAAATCCCCTCCGCTCCCACTCTTAAAGCACAGCTTCAAACCAATTACTCAGGTCCAAAGTTTACTTCCGATTCCAGCCTGAACAAACCAGGGCTGAGCCCATCAAGTTTTATTGCAGTCAATACATCTCCCTTCCAGAAGCAACTGGTCACAGCCATTCCCAACACAAAGCTGCTTGGGCCACCCTTTCTTCTTTTTTATGATGTGTTTCCAGACACTCGGTGACCCATAAAGTTAACTTATAACCAAGTCACAGCCATGACCACAGCTGTTGTTCTTCTGTCTACCCCTGAAGTTCCCTGGCTTCCCAGGCAGGGCCTGTTGCTTTTTCCCAGGACATGTACTCTTGCAGGCAATGAATCATACTGTGCGTGTCTTGTGGGGTCACTCCTTTTAATGCCACCCCAGGTTCTGGGTCCTTAGCCCAGGCTGTTTGCTTGAAACCTTCCCCAACCCCTGGGGTTTTCTGGTTTGCCCTCATGAATGCCCATGCTGCGTTCAGCGCCTAGCAGGACGCTTATTAATGGAGCAGTGGATCCCGCTTGGTGAGCTGAGGTCAAGGCACGCTGTGAGCTGCAACCACCTGCGCAAACACAGCAGTGATCCAGTGGATATTTCTAGCTCGATGTCCTGATGGTGTCATTTACAACCCAATTTGTCTTCTTCCCCACCCCCCTCCCCTTCCTCTCCAAATAGGGTGAGTATATGTACCGAGGAGAGTGTGATGGAGCAACCCGGCTTGTAGGCAGGGTGGAATTTGAAAGTTACTGAATTTAGAGAAACTCATTAGGGCATGGAGCCCAGAAATGATCATGTGCAACCCTGTGATAACGAAGCCACCACACTTCTTAATTTTATTGATTTGGAGAGGTAAGTTTCCTTGACTTGATCAAGGCTGGGGAGCTACCCAGGATCAGGCGTAGGGTTCGAACACATATCTTCTCACTCCCAGTCTGCGGTTTTTCTCATTACAGGATACTGTGTTCCATTAAAATCTAATTTCACTTTGTGACAGAAAGATTGGATTCACAAATAGGAAGACTGTAATGAAACGTATTCTGGTTTCAGTGAAGCTTGTGTCTATCTCCCGTATTAATGAATGAAGGAAGAAAACTGGAGTTTTCTTTTCCAGTATTGGAACATTTTGATTTATAGAATTTTCGGACTTGGAAGGTACTTTAAACACAATCATCTAGTTCAGTGGGTTTCACACTATTCTCAGTGGGGTCGAACACAAGTGGCTCAAGGGTCTTCTAAGGATGGGGGACAAGGTATATAGGATTCTGAGTTTCCACCCTCAGGGCCACTGGAGCAAGCCTAGTTTTTGTCTGTTTTATATGTTGGGGTTTTAGGTTAGATTTTATCTCAAAGCATAATTCACTTCTAAAGAAAGTATGTAAAATTTAAATCTAGTTCAAACCCCTCAAATTACAGATGAGAAAATCGAGGCCTTGAATCTTGACCCCCATGGAGTTGCAAAGCAAGAATAACCCCACTCTCAGGATGAGGAAATAAGATCCAAAGTTTAAGAGATTTGTAGAAAGGTATGGATTTCATCAAGTGGCAGAACCAGGCTGGAACTAGGTATATGGTATTTTTTTTTTTATTCCTAGCCCATGACTTTTCCTATCACATCACATCATTTAATAATATTGAACATGTGGGTAACCTTATTGATTCATGATTCAAGAGGTCCCCCCAAAGAATATGGAGCTGACACAGAGGTGTTTTAGGGAGCAGCAATCAGTTAGCAGGGGGAAGGGGATTTACTCCTGGGCTATGGAAAAAGCACATCCCTCCTCATTTCTTTTCCTCCTGAGTCTATTTCCTCATGCAAGTTCCCTGCTGCAGTGCTGTATTCCCAGTACCTAAACAAAGGCTTGGCACTTAGTTCGAGCTCCATTAATGTTTGTCAAATCTTCTTGACATCTTCAAAACCCTTTGCTGGTCAAGGACTTGAGAATATGATGGATTAAAAAAATCAAATACTATATCAAATCTGTATACACATAATCAACAAATATAGTAGGTTTACTTCCACACACAGAAAAGTACACAAGCCCTGTTCACTGAGAGTGAATCAATGAACTCAGCTGGCAGCATTAGAGAAGAAAATATGACTCAGAGTGGATCTCCTTCTTGGAGCCGCCCAGGCAATGCCCCACAGAGCCTGGGCATCAGGCAAGGTTCCTGGTGGCAGCTGGCCTCACAGGCCTCTGTTCCTGGCAGAGGGAAGTGCACCATCCTGTCCATAAGCTGCTAGGCAGGTATTCAACTGCCCTCTGGGGTAGCCTGACCCTGAATGAGCTTAAATAGAAACCAATAAAACCTGGGATCAGAAAGTTCTTTTTATACCTTACCCAAAGTGGTTAGCATTTGTAGTAGGTTATTAAAGAGTGCTCTTTGATATCTTTGCCTAGGTTACTTTAAGAATAGGAATGGCTAGTTCCTGCTGGTTTCAAAATATTCTCGTCTTCACAATACCACCTCACAACAGTACCACAGTCTATTGTCTTTCAAAGTGCCTTGAGGCAGGGCAATGGCTTAGATGCCCTTCTGATGCCATCTACACCCTGGATTCATTTCAGAGAAAGGAAACACCAGGTGAACTCCCAAACAACAATAAAGAAGTAAAAGAGCTTCCAGGAGAACATGACAAGGCAACACACGCAGAGAAAGAGATGCCCTGTTAGAGAAATCAAGCGTGTGCCTGACCATGAAACCAGAAGAGCAAGAATCTGATGGAAACCATGCTTGTCTCTGTCGGTCCTGGGTTCGCCCATGCCCTGGAATAGAACTCTGACATTCTGTGTTGTGGTCTTCTCTGCATGCAGGGGTGGGCTGGCTTATGTCAGCATGGTAGGATTACCATAAAAGTCATTAGACGTACTTCTGGATGTGGCTTTTCCACTTACAGTAATTAAAACCAACTACTAAGCTGACTTTTTCTTTTGACCCAATTCTTGACTTTCCTCTGCTTCTGTCTCTTAAGGGGCTAAGTCTTCGGCTCCGTAAGGGCCTTAGGGCCGTGCCTGTCTTCTCTACCTGCTACAGGGTTGCCAGCACGGACAGGCCACGGCCAGGAACTTCATTACTCTTTGTCTTAATCTCCTTCTGTGGATCCAAGTGGCCGTTTCAGCCCCAAGGCTTTGGCAGGGCAACAAGTAGGTGGGGCGGGGAGAGGGCACCCTAACCCAGGCTCGGGGCGGAGCTCCTGCCGCCTGCTTCCCACCCAGCCAGCGCCCACTGCCCGCCCCGGGGTCACTGCTTCGGGTCCAGCGAGTGGGAAAGTCCTATTTTAAAGCTCTCTGCTATTTTCTGTCTTTCGCGCGCCCGTCCGCCGCCAGGGGCTCCCTGCACGAAAGGCGCACCCATTTAGGGAGCCTTTTCGCGTCCCGATCCCGCCCCGGGGCGCAGGGATGCTTCAACTCCCGCCGGGCCCCTGCCGCGGGCTCCGAGCACACGCACCGCCTGATTCGCGCTCCCATTGGCTGCTGCCTGTTGCTAACCCACGTGATCGGCGCCGGCGCGCCCCGCCCCCGGCCCCGCCCCCGCGGGCTCCCGCGGCTCGGCTCCTCGGCGCGTTCCTGCGGGGTTGGCGTGAGCCGCGCCGGGCTCCGAGCTCTCGGCCGCCAGCCCCTGCAGACTGCAAGGCTCCGCGCGGCGCCCGGGAGGGCGGCAGGCGCCCACAAGGTGGCAGTGCCGCGCTGCTGGTGACCTGGCCGGGGGTCTGCACGCGCCGCGCCGGGCGGCCGGAGTCCGCGCTTCCCTCCTGCCGAAGTTTTAATGAACATAATATAGACACACCCGGACCTGGGCCACTCCCAGGGCCGGCTGGCAGCGCCCCCTCAGATATGGGGGTTCCCTTGGGAGAGATGCACGCCCCGATGGCGTCTTTGTCCCAACTCAGAGAATCAGAACTTGGGGCCTGTAACTGCAGCAGGTATGTTGATGTTTTCAGCAGTGGTTTTGTTGTTGTTGTTGTTCTTTGAGGGCTATTCTGAGAATCCATTCGGAAAGAGACAAACACTTGGACAATTACTGTCTCTCTTCTTAAGAACACCGCCCCTTTCCCCCTCCTCCCCGAAGCAATCTGCAGCCTCCTTTTTTGTTTTTTTTGGTAAAAGGTCTACACCACCACCGTTTCGGAGGATCTCTCCCCGCACCCGAGTCCTGGAATCCTAACCGGCTCAAGTGGAGAACGTCCCGGGAACGTCCCGGTCCCGCGGCTTGTCCCGGGCTGCCCTTAATTCCAGACTCAGAGAGAGAGAGAAGCTCCTCTGACCTCGTTTGACCCCGCTGCAGGCTCCGGGCGTCCTCATTCAGTGTGTGCGGGTTGGAGGGTCGGCGTTTCTCTCTGCTCACTGGAATTTTTTTTCCCCCTTCGTTCACTTTTCTCCTTGGCTAGTGGCAGGGCTCACGCCCTCTACCATAGTCTAACCCCGCCCTCCCCCCACCTGCACACACACACACACACACGCGCGCACATGCTTCCCACTCTGTTTTGATTATTCTGAGGGCTGTCTGGAAAAGAGAGAGGCCAGCGGAGGCAAAGGCAAGAAGGGGGCTGGATTGCACATTCCCACTTATGGAGGAAGGAGGGAGAAACACCGCTTGACTTTCCATTGTCTCTACCACCCAGCCCAGGTTCCATGCCCCGCCCCGGAGTCGAGCCCTTCCCTTGGGATACCTAAGCTGTCCTCCAGGGAATTTCCCACAATGCTCCTAGTCTGCTCCAGCCTAGCAATGGTCCACCTGTGACAGGACTGCAGAGGGGGAACTCCTGTTCACAGATGTTGGGGTTTCTGCTCATGCTTGAACACAGAACAACACATGTGCCGACTGAATGCCGCCTGTGGCCTCCAGGGAGCTGCAGGTCATCTCTGCAGGAGTGCTGGACAGACAAGGCCATCTCTCACCTCCAGGCTGTGTGACAGGAGGCTAAGGACTCAGGAAGGGCCAGTAGGGAGCATTTTGTAGAAAAAATGTTCACCTGTTATGCTTTTCCACCTACCTTAAAATTGGGGAGCAGGGCTTCAGAGAACTTTGAAGAGCTTTGCAGATGTCTCCTGGAGTTGGGGGCAGGGGTCCACAGGGACCAAGGTGACGTCAGAGTAGAGAGACTGTTTACAGTGGTGAGAGAAAGAGCTGGCAAGGCACCCAGACACTAACCAGTCTTCCTGTTGGCAAAGTGGCCTTACCTCCCCAGGCAAGGGAGGGCACAGTCAACAGTGGGAACAATGACCTGTGGAGGAAGGGTGACCCGCCAGCAGAACCCTTGGGAGGGGACCTCCAACAATCAGAAAAAACCATGGAAGGACCCCACAAGGGAAAGAGCCAACAACTCTACGTCTGCCTGTACTCCCGTTGTCCCCAAGCCCTCTTTGAAGAACTTTGTCCTTTGGCCCTGAGAGACCTGAGCCACCAGCCAGTGATTGGAGGGTCTGAGAGGAAGAGATAAACTCTGATCAAGTCATTTTCCCAACCATAAATCCCCAGCTTCCAACTGGTGGAGGAGAAAAAGTACTGATTTAAATGAAAGAGACAGATTTTTAATTTTGATTGGACTAAAAATTTTAATATTGGGGACTGATAATGAAACTGTAAATGAAAAATTTACATCATCTTTAGTGTTTTACCTGTATTCACTCATTTAATCCTCAACAACAGCCTTGAGAGACAGTCTTATTGTCCCCATTTCATAGATGAGGAGCCTGAGGTCTGAAGAAGTTAAGGAAATAGCGCAAGGTTCACAGTTAGTAAACGGCAGAACCAGGATTTGAATCGACTTCAGAGTCTAGGTGTAGAACCCAAGTGCCTCCCCATCTCTGAATCTTTATTCCTGTTCTTGACCAAACCGCACTGACTTCAAGGCTCATCTCTGCCTGTTCTGGTCCAAGAACGCTTCTTGGCTGGGCCAGCTGAAGGGGCCTCTCTGCTTTGTTGCGTTTTCAGGAGTCTGGTCATGGCTGCGGAGATGCCAGTGTCCTAAGAAAAGATGGGATGTTGTCTGAGGAATCGCCTTCAGAACCCGAGGCACATCTGTTCAGACCTTCAATGCTGACAGCTGTTTTTGAAGGTGAATATGATGGTTGGAACCATCCAGAAGTCATCTGGAGTCCAGTGAAAAAGCCAGCCAGGAAGGTAAGAGAAACCATTTTTACTAAAGGGAACTAGGATACACTCCGGACTTCAGTGTCTAGATCAGGCTGGTTTGCTTCTGTGACTTGAACACTGAATGAGGCTGGTTTGCTTCTGTGAGTTGAATACTAGATCTAAACATAATTCCAGAAGAGAAAATTTCCCAAAGAGGTGAGACCTGGCAGCCTTACTGGAGAGCATATACTCTGAGGAATACAGGCAGAGTACAGCTCATTGGGAAGTACAGGTTGTTTTTCTAAATACATATATATTCTAATTATGCTTATCACCTTATCGCAAACTTTCATTTTTATTCTTTCTGTACAACTGGATTATGAAATGTGAGGACAGAGACTGCATCTTTTACTTCTTTCTGTTCCCTATCACACCAAATATGTAAGGTGCAAAATGAGTATGTTAGGCTGATAAAGGAGCCTTGTATGTTGGGGAAATTTTCTTTTTTTAAAAAAAGTTTTAATTTATATATTATTTTTGGCTGTGAGTGGGCTTTTGTCTAATTGTGGGGAGTGGGGGCTACCATCTGGTCGTGATGAACGGGCTTCTCTTGCTGGAGAGCACAGGCCCTAGAGTGCACAGGCTTCAGTAGTTGTGGCTCCGGGGCTCTAGAGCATAGGTTCAATAGTTGTGGCGCACAAGCTTAGATGCCTCACAGCATTGGGGATCTTCCCAGATCAGGGATCGAATCCATGTTTCCTGCATTGGCAGGTGGATTCTTTGTCACTGAACCACCAGGGAAGCCCTGGGAAATTTTCTCTTTGAGTAGAATTAAGAAGGGTGTCCCAATTGCAGAGAGATGGTGTGCAAGGTTGCAGGAAATGGACCCAATAGAAAAATTTGAGACTTACCTGGCCTCCTTGAGTAGAGTGTCTCTTGGGGGCAGAGTTTATTTAGTAGAACCACAGGAGATATAACTCGAGAGAGATGTCTTATGGGCAGATAGGTCTTTATCTTTTAGGCCAGTAGTTTTTTTAATTAGAAAGGGTCGGGGAGCGAGAACCAGGAAACTCCCTCCTCACCAAGACACCTTGTGTTTGACCATGGACTTGCAACTTTATGGTCAGCTGTGACCGGACAGCACATTCTAGCCCATTGTCCTGTCTCAGGGTGCTTTGAAAAATTGTAAGGAACTAAACAATTAGTTAAAGCTATGGTTTTTCCAGTAGTCATATATGAATGTGAGAGTTGGACTATAAAGAAAGCTGAGTGCCAAAGAATTGATGCTTTTGAACTGTGGTGTTGGAGAAGACTCTTGAGAGTCCCTTGGACTGCAAGGAGGTCCAACCAGTCCATCCTGAAGGAAGTCAGTCCTGAATATTCATTGGAAGGACTGATGCTGAAGCTGAAACTCCAATACTTTGGCCACCTGATGCGAAGAACCAACTCATTGGAAAGACCCTGCTGCTGGGAAAGATTGAAGGCGGGAGGAGAAAGGGACGACAGAGGATGAGATGGTTGGATAGCATCACTGATGCGATGGACATGAGTTTGAGTAAGCTCTGGGAGTTGGTGATGGACAGGGAAGTCTGGAGTGCTGCAGTCCATTGGGTCACAAAGGGGATACAACTGAGTGACCGAACTGAACTGAACTAAACAAGAAGAAATTCCCTGAGTTGTTGGTATCATTCCCCTTTGTGTAAAACTGAGCCACTGTGCAGAAAGCCAGTGTTCTGCAGCATAGAGGTCATTGGCATCTATGACCGTTGGTACGTTGGTATCTTCCTTACTGTCCTGAGCCATTTGCCTGTGAGGAATGGGCATCTGAAGTACCGAGGAAAGAGCAGAAGTTATCTCATGGTAACCTCTCATTTATTTTAGAGGTTTCCGCTCTGGGTATTACTGTGTGGGTTTTTAATGGAAAAGAATAATCAAGACCAGTCTGCTTAAAGAGCTTATGGAAAATATATGAAATTTAGAGTGTAAAACCCAGATTTAATTGTTAAACCTATTTTTAAAAAGTGAGCAAAGGAAAGTAAGAAAAACGACCCCAGTAGCTCATTATGTAACATCCAGATGTTTGGCTTGGAACAGGCCAGATGAGGAGGTGATTTTTTTCTCTCTTCATCTGCTTGCTTTGGCCTCACTGGAGAGGCAGCGAGAGAGGTTGTATAAGAAGCTCGCTGGAGTGGACTTGTCCCCACTCTCCACTTGCCCTTCGAGAGACCCATGAGTCTTCAGCTGTGTTTGAAAGCTTCGACGTGGCACATTCTTAACGAACACATTCCTTAGACCCAGCGTGGGCTTGAGACACTTCTGGAAATCATCTCATGATGACTCCAGGTGGACCAGGCAGCGAGTGGAAAATATTTTTCCTTCTCATTCAGGTGTTGTGGGCTCAAGGAGACCTGAGGTTGTTTGATCTTAAACGTGCAGCTCTAACACAATATTTAAATGTGCCCGTGGGCTTGGAAAAAGTGGCAGCTGCTCTTCAGCATGATAGAGAGATGTCCCTGTTTCCGCTGGCTATGTTTGTCAGCATGGATGTTTGCTCTTGCCAGAAATGCCAGTGAAGGGCAACAGGCACCGTTCTGCTAGAATGAGAAAAGCGGGACCTGATTAGCAGACAGGTTTGTTGAAAAAGCATTTCTGCTGCACACTAATCTCTACATATCCTGTCGGGAAATCCTCTCAATCC